TTCCCTACATTTTCTTTAAATTATTTTCAGAAAAAGAATATAATTAATCCAAAGTTTAGTTACTTCAAATAAGGAGACAAGTTGTTCTTCCACCTAAAAAAAGGTTATGATTGGGTAAGGATATATTGTTGGTCCAAATTTTGAGATTTGGTTTGGTTTCTGAATTTTGTAGTCGATCTTGATGTACAATTTTAGTTTTTTATTTTATTTTAAAATTCTATTTGCACTACCCGTTTATATTAAAAATATTTATTTTTAGAAACAATTTGATTTATTCTATTTTTTCATATTTTTCATAGATTGATTAATTTATTTTAAATAAAATATATTCAATAAAATTTTAAATCGGATTTAATTAAATAGAATTATATATTTTGCGATTTAGTTTAATTGAGTTAATTATATTCGATTTTACTACATCTGAAGTTTCGAGATATATCATGAAAAGATTAGATAGAAGAAAACAAATAAATAGATGGGAGATACAAAAAAATTTGTTTATTTCTCTAGTACAATAAATAAGATCAGAAGATTATAATTTCAAAAATTATACGTTTAAAAAAAGTTATTTGAATTTTGTATTCAACTATTCCAATTGTCCGAAAGTATATCATATAAGTTTTGTAATTTCTTATCCTTATATGTTTTTCTTGTTATCGTTATGTATTATTTACCACACAATATATATATATATACACACACACACACACATCCAACATGGCACATGGATACAAAAGCGAACTATACAAATTAACGCAAAGAAAAACAAGTTCAAATGGACAACTTCTGTAGCACAGAGTAATAGTGTTGGAATTTGCCCCACAAATAATTTTATCCATTAATATATTTTTATTTGTTTTAGATTTTTATTTATATTATTAGACAATTATTTTTAAATTTATTTCTATATTTATTATAACCATAAATTTTGAATAAAATGTTTTTTTTTTTTGCTTTTCGTCTTCTCTTTATTAAATCCTCCATCTCCATACCATCTTTTATTTGTGACACAATCACCATCTATCTCTTCTCCTTCCATCATTTTTCAATTTTTGTTTCTAAAACAATTATTTCTTTGTTTTAAGGAAAATTTTCAATATTTTTTTATAGGACAGAGTTTTTTTTTTTAACAGCGTTCTCTCAATCACATAACAGATTTTTAGGACAAAATTCACTCTTTCATTTTTATAAAAGTTTACTATTAAGGAAACGTTAGCAAAAAACACAATCTCATTTTCACATGGGATTTGTAAAATCATAAATATTCGATTATAACATATATTAAATAATTTTTTTTCTCTCTCTATATATATGAGATAATATTATTTTTTACATCTGTATTTTCTTTTTTATTGATAGAGTATAAGATAATACCCTCCTTTAAATAAAACTTGGCAGTATAAAAACGTTAAAAAGTTAGAAGCTTTGCGTGAATAAGTATTATTTAATATATGTTAATACTTATTCACGAATACATCCAATCATAAATAAATATATATATATATGTATATATATATCCTAAATAAAATTTAGTATATGAATTTCCTAAAAAATAAATAGGAACAAATAAAATGGAAAATAGGTAGAAAATAGGGGCCGAATAGATATATAATGTAAAAGCCCACAGTTGAGTTGCTGTCTAACTGATTGGGCCCATAGTTCCTATATGAAGCCTTTTCTTTCATGGCCCAAATGAATGCATTATTATTATAGAAAACGAGATATGAATATAGTATGTCTTTTTTAAAACACTATATAGATATTGATAATTTAGAGTAGAGAAATGTTTGATAATTTAGATATTTAGTAATTTATTTTACATAAACTGAAAATATGAATAAATTTGGTTTCGCTTCATTTATACAAATTGTTGATATAATATATATTAGAAATTTATTATGGTCTGTATTACTTGCACATAGAAATAACTGTTATAAAGTTTTATCTGAATCTGATATACTAACTTGAACATCCACCATTTCTTAAAATCTTTTTAAAAACAAATTGCAACCAATATTTTCATAAAATAACATGTGAAATCTTGAAAATTGTAATAAAAAAAAGAAAAAAAGAGAGAAGAGAATGAATCTGGGGATAAGAAAATATTAAAAAAAAAACCACATATACCCTCATCAAATCACATTCTCATTAATAATCTATAAAATTGTGTATTTATAATTAAAAATAAAACTGGATTTTTTTTAAACAAACACAGAGAAAATCTAAAATGACATTTATTAAGACACAAAAAATATTCTACCAAAAGACAAATAATTAAAAACGGAGGGAGTATATATATATAGTAGTACATCTATTATTCTTGTTATTAGAATAAAAACATCTAAAGTATTCGTAGGAAATGTTAGCTAATTAAATTAGAAACGAAGTTTACACACAAATGATATAGAAATATCTTAAGATATAATTAACAAAATTAATATTTGATTATATAGTTAATTTGGCGTATTTAATGATCTTGGTTCCTTATCTAGTCAACTAAATCCTTATATATTACTTCATTACACGAAGAGGATAATTCAAAACAAAGGTTTTTTTTTTTCTATATATAAAAAAAAACAAAGTCGTATGAAGAGAGCAACCACATGTTCCCCACACCTCATTTTTCATCCACCGGCTATTTCTATTTTAGTGTCGTTGATGATGACAATGCATAGGAACCCGAACACAAAAATGATAAATATGATATATATATATATATATATATATATACATATCGTATTGATTGTATGGATGGAGGATATATACATAAATATTTTTTGAATGAATGGGTTTAGTAATTAATTAAATAAAAAATTAGATATTTTTAAAGATCCAAAATTATTTCAATATATAAATAATTAAGATTTTTCAATGGATTTATGTCGACTGTTTTTCTGGGTGTTTCGTTAGATTCTTTTTGTACGGTTTGCAAATTCTACAAAAAAAACAAAAACAAAAACAAAGCACAAATATATTATTCTATTGCTAAAAACAATATGTACAACTTTCTTACCCTTTATCGTTGGGAAGATAAAACTTGTAAACCTTGAAGGTTTAAGAAATAATTATCCTCAGATTCTGTAATTTAATTAATTAAACCACACTCAATCTACCAAGTTACCAACCGCTGCACCTGCCGCCGTAACGGACCCCGTTATCATCCCACAACCTCACCACGTTTCCGTTTATTACCGTTAAATCCACGTAACGGTACCAACTGTCTTCTCCGTTCATCGTCCTCACCACTCTCTCCCACCACTCCTCTACCTCTCCGTCTCTCCCGTCACTGATCGCCGTTATCTCTCCGTCATCATTATCCCCCACTCCGTCACCATCGCAGTACAACGTCAGCTTCCCCTTCGTGAATCCGTCTCCTTCGTCACTAATCGCCGTTAACTCTCCGTCACCGCCGTAGTACACCGTCAGCTTCCCCTTCGTCACTCCGTCGTTGCACATCAACGGCCTCAAAAACGCCTTTTCCGTCAGCGTTACCGTTTTTTCTGCCGGAGTGGCCGCCGCTTGCGGCTCACAGTCGTCGGTTTGGGCAGTTTGGCGCTCAGATTCTCCACCGATTTCTTCGAACACGGCGGAGCAGTGACCGATCTTCAACGGAGGCGTGGAATCTCCGCCGCCGGTGACACGGATCCCCCAGAAGCTGACGGCAGCGGTGACGACGGCGATCCAAGTCCATAGGTTGTTGACGGCGGAGAGGATCCCGATGCCGATGTAGTTAAAAGGCAACGCCTCCAATGGCGAATTGACGGTGATCATCTCTCCCTGTCTCTCCCTCTCACTCGGTGAAAATCGGGGAAATTGGATTTTCTATGTTGTTCGATGAAGCCGATACACACGATGTGATTTAATTCGGTGTTTATATAGGAGGGAGGGAGAGAGAGAGAGATAGCGAGAGAGATGAAATCTGAGCCGTTAGATGAGGGCAAGATGAACGGTGGATCAAGTCGAGACGGAGAGGAAATATAGACCGTTGGATCTTGCCAAGTTGAACGGTGGATATTTTGAGATACTGAGAATCGATGAGCGAAGATGCTTGTCGCGAAGGAAGATACCTTACCTTGCTAGAGACCAAAAAAACTTATTTCCCAAATTTAGTTTAGGCCTCAAAATCTAAATGAAATTAAAGGAAAAAAAGAAATTCATTAATTGAATTACCAAAATAAAAACAAAAATGATATTTTTCACATTTCAGTTTGAGTGACACGTGTCTGGTCAGAAGGATCCACGACTCCACCGTATATTCTCATCAATTTCGGCACGTGGGGACATGTTGATGGGCTTTTTCTGTGAAGCCCAATTGAGTGCATCTTCGTTGCAAAATTTAACCTTCTTGGGGTGAAACATCAAATAGATAACGGATAAAATAATCTATTAGGAAATGAAATTATCTAATAATATTTGCCAGAAAAAAAACAATCTGTTCTAATTAGAAACAAATCTGTTTATGTGAATAATTTTGTACAATGAAAACTCAAAAAAATTATTGCATAATTCGACAAACTAAAAGATAAGAAACGAGGGATATGGACAACTACAAAAAAAAAAAAGAGAGAGGATGTATGTATGTTTGAAAGGATATCTATCCTTCCAATGATAGGATAATAATTATTTTTATAAAATAAAAAATCTCATTTTCATTTTCTTAAAATGTACATAATTTATAAAAACTTGTATTTGGCTATAATAAACAGATTCATCTTAATTTGGTACACTGTAAAAAAACACTAAAATCGAAATATTTTATCCCTATTATTTTAATCGTCATAATTCATTACAAAAAATCTGATAAAGGATAAAGGTGTTGTAACTCATAGGTCACGTGCAAAAGAATCCTTAAAAAGTCAAAGATATACATATATATGTGTGTATATATGTATGTATGGAAAATTTGGAAACCCCCTAAATTTTATAATTGTTATACATTTGACACCGCAATTATGAAATACTACTGATGCGCAATTTTATCGTCTCCTCCCACATTTTAATTGTGTATAACAAAACAACAAAATTGTAGCACACTATGTTGGAAATATAGCACTTGATAGAAAATAAAATATAGGGATTAATTCATAATATATAAAGAGTTTCAGGGTCAATTTTAACTAACTGATCTTCATTTTTGTCGATACATGTAGCCAACATTCCGTGAAAAACGGCGAAAACGACGGAAAAACCAAGAAAATCTTCCTGCGACGATCGATAAAACTATAAATCCAAAATAAAAGCCAAGCCCCAATTTTCGATCTCCTGAAAATCGCTTCTCTATTTCCATTTTTTTAGCCTCACCCAAAAATTTAATTTGGTTTCTTCCTCCTACTTGGAAATCTCTCTCCCACTTCGGAGAGATCGCCATCTCTTCCGAAGCTCCTTTCCTTCATTTGTTTTTGCATGGCGGTTCCTCTTCGGGTCCATTGCTAAAAGCGCTTCGATTTGTTCTCATCTTCTGGTAATTTCTAATTATATCTACATTTGCTCTAATGGGTGATCCGATATTTTTTCTTTCTTTTTTGGGAGAATTTTCGTGGACGGGTGTTGAATTCATCTGGGTTCTAATTTTCGAGAATTTCTCACGTACGGCTTTGGTTCTCATCTGGGTTTCCTATTTTTCTGTTTTCCTCGATGCGTTCGATATGGGTCAAATTTTCTGCGGGTGTTGGTCTGAGAGAGATGTTTGGCTTGATGGAAAACGAGCGAAAGCGAGAGAAAATGCGGAGGACGTACGAAGGGGTTGATGTTTTGAGATTGATCTGAGGAACAGTTCAACAATGAATTGTTATCTAGTAGAGCGGATTCTGTTGATGTCTTTAATTCGAGAGAGCTGTTTGGCTGGCGAGAAAACGAAGGAAAATAGGGGGAGATGTTAAGAATCCAACGTCTTGTCGTTTTAGGGTCTTCTGTGTTTCAGATTCCATGTTTGTAGAGATCTGAAACACAGATTGCCTCATGTTTACGTAGATCATTTCTTATTCTGCGAAGAAAACGCTCACGATGTCTCGGGATCTGCATTAGATTTAGGAAATTCCTATTGAGATTGACAGCTTTGGCGTTTTCTTGTCTGCATGTTGGTCCCCTGTTTGGCTGCCGAGAAAATTTGACAGGAAAACTAAAATGAGTAGACATAGATTCAGGTTCATCAAGTTCTTTCCTTGAAGCACTGATTCAAACAAAAACTATAAACTGAGAATTGGTTGGTCCTTGGATTCAAGATGTAATCGAATTTGTATGCTTTTTGTTTGTGAATGCAGCTACCGGAGAAGATCTTATGAGATTTTCCATCTAAAAGTTCCAGGCTTTAGCATCATCCCAAAGGCAAAATGGACGAAAATAACGGGGTGAAGTTAACCGGAATCAGGCAGATCGTTAGGCTGAAAGAGATCCTGCAGAAATGGCAGTCCGTCACGATAGGGTCGGATCCAGATGGCTCCCTGACGGCAGCCCAAAAGCACGGCGGTTTCATTTCACCGGCGATCAGCAAAAGACTAATGGATGTGAAAAACTGCGACTCGGATGAGGAAACTTGCCACAGTCCCGGTGCACCTCCCGATGTCCCCGAGGGGTATTTGGCAGTGTATGTTGGACCGGAGCTTCGGAGATTTATAATACCGACGAGCTATCTCAGCCATTCTCTGTTCAAAGTTTTGCTGGAGAAGGCCGAGGAAGAGTTCGGGTTTGATCACAGTGGCGCTCTCACCATCCCGTGCGAGGTCGAGACTTTCAAGTTTCTACTCAAGTGCATGGAGAACCAAAGCAAAGATATCCCTGAAGACAGCTCTGGTATGTTCCTATGATGTCCCTTCTCATCCGAATCCGGTGTCTTAGCCTGAAAATCGTCACCTTAGTTGAAAAAAAAAGTTGATCTTTTACACATTGAGAGCTCGAAAACAAGTGTGTGAAACTGCGGGAGAATCTTGGATTTGTTGAGTTAATGTAATCTCGTAATGAACATGTACAAAGTTCTAATCTTGGAGCGACAATGCCCTTGTCCAGATTGCTAGGTTTGGGCATGGGTCGGTACTCGAAAAAGTTAGGGTATCGAATCCGCATTTAAAGGTTTTAGCTATTACAATTTGACTCTCGGATATTCAGATTACGAGTATCCGACAAAACATTCAGATCCCCGAGGAAGAGTTCGGGTTTGGTTACTCGTATTTGTACCTGTCTAACGAGAGGACGAGTAACAAAAACCCGCCTCGTAGCCAGGAAAAAACGGGTACCCAAAGAAATTTGGTGTCGATGGGGATTGGATATCCGCGAGTACCCGATTTTTGTTGGTACATAGGGAATACATACATGGAAGGGTTATTAGGTTAAGGAAAGCGAGGGATTCTTAGAGGCATCTTACGGCGTCGTTTTTTGTTCTTTCGCAGCTGGAGAGTCAGTGGACAAGGAGGAGGAGTAATTCAACACAGAAACGCCATTGATTATTCTCAAGATTTTGGTTAATCCTCTTTGTTCTTTGTATTTCACAGGCTTTTGTTTTTTCTTTCTTTCTTTCTTATTCTCCGTTCCTTTATTTTTCGAGGAGGAGAAATGTTAGGGAAGTAATTGTTTCTGCCAAGGGTTTTACATTGTTTCGCAGGTTTGGTGTGAGGTGAAAAAACTATGCCCTTTTTTGTATGATGTTCAATTTTTGTCAAAAAAGAAATAATAATAGAAAATTCCATATAAATATATCTATTTGTTTAAAATGTTATAAAATTCTAAACATATATATGAATTTTGAAAGGCCCAAAGATAAACAAATTATAAAATATTGTCGATCACCGCTTGTTTGATGATGTGTAGAAAAATTATCATATCTGGTTAATTAATGCGTAGAAAATATGCAATATTTGGTTAATTGATGTATTTGATTCAAAATTTTAAAACTTGTATATTTTTTTAATAGGATTTTTCTTTTTAGATTATGTTTAATATATACGAATTATGGAAGAAAACTTTTATATTTTTTTTAGATATTATCATATAGTTGGTTGATATAGAAAAATAGAAAATTCATCCAATCAATTTTGTTTTTGTCACTTGGACAAATCTTTTGTTGTTTTCTACATGCAATCTTTGCAAATTCTGTATGAAATTCTTGCCTCTTTTTTTTTTTTATTATAACAATTCCAATCAAATTATACATAAGCATCCTTTTAATGTAAATGTCAAATGGTCGTAGATATACTTGAAAATGTAAATATATATTACATATAAATTTTGTTTCCATATATTATAAAGTTGATTGACTAAATTACTGCGATGATATAATTTAAGATCGCGTTTTTGATCGGATCAGATTGAATCGATACCAATCGTATTATAGATACATACACATTATGAGTTTTTGATTCACATTATCATCGATATATATTAAAAACTAACCAGTTGCTTATTAAGTTGTGAAAAGGTTGTGATTTTAATACTCCGATAATTATCAAAATATAGTAAAAAAGAGCCACTAAAATTTACCTCAAACCGGTCTCCGTATAAATTTTACGAATGTAAAACAGTATAAATATACAAACCAAGCATTATATATAATTATGAACCCAGCACCTAAATTAAATCGTATATTATATATTGCCAATAAATTAATTAACAGGCGTAGAACTCAACGAGTTCGTGGAGCGACTCGGGATGTGACTCGTCAGCGTTCTCCATCATCCAAAGCAAATGCTCGAACAAGACGACCTCGCACGGCACCGTGATTTCTCCACCGTCGGATATTTCCGAAAGCTGCCGGAAGAGAGAGTGGCTGACGACGCCGGAGCTCACGAGGTAGCGGCGGCGCGTGCTCCCGACGTACACGGCGTGGAGATCGTCGCCAGAGATGAAGTCTTCGGTGCTTGCGCGCGTGACGGAGAATCGGCCACCGTGGCTCTGCGGCGTCTCCGGCGGCGGAGGCTGGTGGTGGCGGTGGTTTTTGGCGGTGTTGAAGGAGTTGAGCTTCTTCAGGACTGATTTCAGCTTCATGAGTTTGTTGTTGCCTCCTCTCGCCATCTTCGATTTTGATTTGGTACAAATTTGGCGGCAATCGAAGTCGGAGAGAGGTTTCCGGCGAGAAAGAGAGGGAGAGAGAGAGAGAAATTTGAATTGTTGGAAGGGGAGTGTTACGTGCGTTGTTATATACATGGAGTGGTGGGGTATAATGGTAATTTCATCTCACTTTTTTTTTCCTGTTTTAAAAAATTTGTAGAGAAGGAGATTACTTATATTGTGAAATGAATATGAAAATTGGAAATAGATTATTAAATGAATATACAAAAATAGAAATAGATGATCAATGTGTATAGTGAATCAGTGATTAGTGGGCTTCAATTACAATAACTCATTGGAAATAAAGAGAAAAAAAATCAATATATAAATTTACCACAACTAAACACACTTAGACGAAGATATTGATAAAATTTACAGTACAAAGAATTTATTAATACCTTCATCCAAATAATTTTTATAATATATGAAAAGTATTCTATTAAAAACATATGAAAAATTAGAAATATTTTCTTCTAAGTTATGATAGGTTAAGATTTTTTTATTTCAGTTAGAATATCTTAAAATTTTGCTATTTGTTATATACATATATAGCCGTTTAAGAATAAAAATCATATATTTTTTTATTTTTTGTTATTATGTTAAGATTAGTTTTGTAATGTTTGTTTAATAATGATATATGGTTCTATTAAATGAGAACATATAGAAAGTATTTATATTTATAAGAATATTTTCTTAAAAAGAAATTAAATTTATAGTATAGCGTATATCAATAATAGATGAAGATATGTGAAGGTTAATCATGCATTAGAAAATGGAACCGTTGCCATGAAAATGGGTATCATAGTCAATTGAAATTAAAATAATAACTTCAAGCATAAAAGCATGTATTTCTTAGAAAAAAATATGAATTTTTGTCCTCTTTTTCCAAACTTAAACAATCTTTATATTTTTGAAGTCTCTAATGACTTCATCTCAAAACTACTAATTATTGTAATTCAACCAAAATAATATTCTACTATTGGTTTAACAACAAAGTATATAAAAAAGAAAAAAATATATAGATAAAGTACTATTTAACCACGCGAGAAAAAATTAAAAATAAATAAAATTAGATAGAACCGACAAATCCCTTATCTGCCATTCATTTAAAAAATAAATAAAGTATTAAATAATAGCTAATCAACGAGTAACTAATGCTTTATAAAGTTTGGCCGTCTTGACATTGAGAAATAAAATGATATCTTTTCAAATAATATAATCGTCAAATAACAATAGTTTATATTTGTTCATACAATAAATAATATGTTAGTGCAATTATTTGCACATGTGTTTTTTGGTTGTTAAGTGGTTATTGCAGGTTCAACAAACTTGAGAGATTTCAGGAGAAGAATCCGGCGAGATAGAACTCACGCAAATATGAGGTACAACTGACGAGTTTGAGATAAAGTCAAAGACTAAGAGATTGAGATGGACTCAATGTCAACCACTTGGAGAGATTTTAGGAAAACCAATCTGAAGAAATAGAGCCACGAAGTTAAGCCACGAAGTTTGGATTTGACTTGAAGAGATGAAGATAGAATCAAAGCCAAAAAGATTTGAGGAGATTTGAGATAAAAGATAAGATCTTGGAGATAAGGTCAAAGGCTGAAGAGATAGAGTCAAACAAGAGATAAAGATGAGATCTTGGAGATAAAGATAAAATCAAAGAGAATCAAGGAGGAGTCTATCAAATCAATTCGTGGAGATCTAAAGCGAACTGGAGGAGCCTATATAAAGGAGAGAGCAAGTGCATATCAGTTCTCACGGAGAGCAAAGCATATTTTACTAAAAGAGTTTGTGTTAGTGAGTGAGCACTCACTTTTGAGTGAGTGTGGGTTTGAGAGAGAGACCGATTGGGCAAATCTCTTTTCTCTGGTGAGTGTTTGGGCGTGGATCTGAGGGGGAGACCTAATGGGAAAATCTCTGTTCCTTTGGTGAGTGTTTATGTTTGGTGAGGTTTTTTTATCAGTAGAATTCATTGTGAGAGTGGGTTGAAACTCAGGGGGAATTTCATCTGGTTGTTGAGTAGCTCTAACAAAAAGTGAGTTGTACTTGACTTTTTCTCAAGTGAATAGAACTGGTTAGTTTTTCCGTTTTACTCTTTAAGGGTCCAAACTTTTTCAATTGGTATCAGAGTTGGTCACCGATCGTAGGAACGTGTCCTCTCATATCGGTGTAAGTGTGGAAGACACAACATGGACTCGATCAAAGGGTTTCACGCTCTTGGGACGTCCACGATTCTCGATTCGGAGAATTACAGTTTCTGGAAAGTTAAGGCAATGAATCTAATCAAAGGGATTGATGAAGATGCTTGGAGTTGGGTGGAAGAAGGATGGAGTACTCCAACTCACGTGGTTGATGGGAAGGAAATTCTGAAGCCTAGATCTAAATGGACAACCAAAGAGAAGAGAGCATCGGCATTAAATTCAAAGGCGATAACCATCATCTTCAATACCGTTGATAAGGACGAATTCAAGCAGATCCAAGGGTGTAAGTCAGCAAAAGAAGCCTGGGATGCACTTGAACTAATTCATGAAGGTACCTCAAGTGTTAAACGCACAAGGAGAGATCTGATCAAACATCAATTCAACATGCTTCAGATGGGTGAAAACGAAAGTGTCAAGGAATTTTGCGGGAGGCTGAATGCATTAGCAAACGAGGCTGAGGTTCTTGGAAAGACCTACCGAGACAAACAATTGGTGGCCAAACTTCTTGTAAGTTTACCTAAAAAGTTTATGTCTCATAAATCTGCATTCACCATGGTAAATAATGTAGACACTGTTAGTTTCAAAGAAACAGTTGGTGCATTTGCTGCTCATGAATTAGAATTAGAGTTGTATGAGAAGCCAACGAGAGCAACAACGTCGCACAAAAATATGGTTTTCCATGTCCCAGAGATATCTGACACTCAAGGTCAAGTATCACTGGACGAGGACATGATGATGATTGTCAAAAAGCTCAACAGATTTTTCAAGAAAAAGCCAGTGACTACTGGAACATCTGAGCTGAGAAACACTGGAAAGTGTCTCGAATGCAAGGGAGTTGGTCATTGGAAAGCTGAGTGTCCTAACATTGCTAAGAGAGAAGCAATGTTGAGGAATCTAAAGGATCTTCAATGTTATGAATGCAAAGGGTATGGTCATATGAAGAACGAGTGTGCTGGTGGGAAGTCAAAAGGAAAATCTTCACTCACTCACGAAGAGTTGGAAACTGAATATGATGAAGATGAAGAAGAACACTCAAATTTCGTTGCACTCTTTGGTGACACAAAAGAACATGAGGAACAAGAAGAGGAGGTTAGTGAAGAAGATCTGTACAAAGAGATGACAAAGCTTTACGATATCAACATGAAGCTGATCAAGGAACAGAAACAGAGTGAGTCAACAATCACTGATCTGAAGAAACAGTTGATCAAAGAACAAAAGGAGAAGGAGTCAACGACCATTGATATAAAAAAGCAGCTGAAAGAAAAAGAAGAAAAGATCACCTTACTACAAAGTCAATTGGATGAGACTATGAAAAAAGTAAGGATGCTCGGAAGTGGTACAAGAAAGCTTGATCATCTACTGAGAATTGGGCGAACTGATTCTGGGCATGCTGGCCTAGGATACACTGGAGGAAATATTAACAAAGTAGGAAACTTTGTTTCTGGAGGAAAGCTTGGAGATGAGAATATTGTTCCGGTCAAAAATACTCCAAGAATCAAGGTTGATCTTCATCCGAGAAAGCAGTATCGTGAGCACAGAAGTTGTTTTCATTGTGGCAAAAGATGACATATTAGAGTGAACTGCTACTGGAGGAGAAATCAGGTACCACTCGCACCAAGATGGAGACAAGTCTGGAGGAGGAAAGATATCAACATGTGCAATATTGCTTGTACATCAGAGCTGAATTCAAGAGAAAGTCAGTGGTATTTCGACAGTGGATGCTCGAAACACATGACTGGTGACATGAGTCGACTTTCTACTTTTGAAGAAAGCAACAAGGGTGACAATGTTATATTTGGTGATGGACGAAAAGGAAAGATCATTGGAAAAGGAACGCTGGACTCATCTGGACTGCCTATCCTCACTAATGTGAATGTGGTTGAAGGACTCAAGGCGAATCTCATTAGCATAAGTCAACTTTGTGACTCTGGACTTCAGGTACACTTCACTAATGATGTATGTTTAGTCACTAACTCGTTGAATGAGTGTGTGTTGACAGGAAAGCGAACACCGAGTAACTGTTATACTTGGGATGATCAATCGAGGACAAAGTTATGGAATCAAAGTAGAGGGAAAGCTTACGAGATATCTGATATACCTCGAGAACCAGTCAGTGATCACTCAGATCTTGACCAGGTACATCTCACTTCATCTCAGAATTCTGAAGTGCTAGAAGAGGATATGAAAAGTGATCCTAAGCCCCCTGTTCGTCGAAACTACCTAGCTAATGATGTGCGTGGAAGTGTGAATGACCCACGACAGGTAAGGGACAAACCTCGATTAAATTATCAAGATATGACTAGGTTTGTGTGCTTTATTTCGCAGGATGAATCTATTAAGATGCACGAGGGTTTGAATGATGAGTATTACCTCAAGATAATGCATGAAGATGGAAGAGTCAGTCGCAACAAACCAAGGTTAGTGGTTCAAGGGTACACTCAATGGAAGGTATGAATTCGGTACCACTTTCTCAAAGAGCAAATTAGAGCGGTCTTTTGATTGAGTATGCACTCATTGAACGCCAATTAGCTGAAATCTTTACGAAACCACTTGATATGAATGGGTTTGTGTGTTTTTTTTTAAAAAAAAATCTTTTGGTTTAGGAGAAATCTGATTTTATCTCTAATGGTGTCTATTCGAAAGTGATTTGGTTCAATGATTGTGAAGGAGAGTCAGTGATACTTGACAGGTATGCCAAGTATACTTCAAAAAAAAATGACATGGGCATCCTGATACTCCTCTGTTGACTTAGTACTCCTGAATGACAAAAAAAAGGAAGGAAAAGAAGGAAAAGAAAAAGAAAAAAAAAGAGCGATGAAAAAGGAAAAAGAAA